GCCACTGGCAGGGATTGTGGTGAGGGGAAATACGCCTCCATACTTTGGATGGGTGGAGTCTAAGAGCCGACCTGAAATATAGACAGAGACAAACAGGCACACACAGACACAAACGTGCATTCCCAACCTCATGCACACATATACAAATACTCAGCAGTCACCCAACGTAAAGACAGACACAAATGGATATTGTACACACAATCATACTCCCCAAACATACTCTATACTTCCAGGTCCAGGTACCCTCGGCCCCTGAGGGGGAAACGCACCTAGACCCAGGAGATGTTACCTTTTCCCCCGGGGTGGAGGCAAGCAGACCCCCCCAGGCTCCCAGCAGCAGAGAGGCCCCACATCCCAGACCCCAATCGGGCAGCCAACACCACCTCCCAGCCCCTCCGCCCCGATGGCTAACAGAGAGGTGTGAGAAGACCCCATACCTCCCTCCTCATGTGTAGTGTTGCTGTGTGTTGTTCTAAAGTGTATTTAAAACACGGGAGGGCATCGTGCTGCTGCCAGAGAGCAGGCCCAGTTTGGGGTTCTGGGGTTGCTGCAGGCCCAATTTTAAATGCATGTCTACATGCACCCCCGCCTCCTGGAACCCACCAAGGCAAGGGGGCCCAGGCCATTCAGACGGGGCCCACGGCAGCAGCACCGCCAAGCCCCACAGGACCCGGGCAGCCCACCCTGTCCCACCGCAGAGGAAACTGTACCCACCCAATTCAATCCTCTCCCAGACTACACAAGACAATAGACACCCAGGTTAAGTTTAATCTACATCTCTCCTATGTCACTCCCCCACCTGCAGAGTGAACTTCTGCAAGCATGAAATAACCTCCCTGCCAGTTGAAGAGCCCCCCAGTTTGGCCGATGCACCAGGGGCCCCCTGCGCCAAGGCTGAGCCCCCATGCACCCACCCCACAACCTCGGCGACACACCAACTAGGTCCGAAGCCCCCAAGGCCCAGCCAGAGCCCCAGCACGGAGGTGGAGAACCCCCAGAAACCCAAGCCCAGAAAACAGAGATTTGAGATAGGAAACTGTTCTTGAAATACACTGAGAGACAGAAAGAGCTGTGCAGGAAGTGTGATTATTATTATTTTATTTTATTATTTTTTTTTATTGTGGTGGAAGCAAAACAGCAAAAGAGGGGATTCATGTTGATGTTTATTAAACGTGAAGTGTAGTTTGGATCTTCTTTTGCTGCTGGTTCAGTGAATTTTGGTCAGTGACAAAACCTGCAGCTTCAGAATCTGTGAGCTGCAGGCTTTCAGCCACAATGGCGTGTCTGTGTACATGCCGTCGGGTGAGAAAGCTGACATCTCACAGATTCGTCTGATGTGTCGGGTCCGCGCTTCTGTTTACATCTTTGTGTGGAATCAGTTTATCTGCTCTCATTTACTGTATTAGCTGTTTGGTGGTTGTTGAAATAGTTTTGTGAGGTTTAACCTGAGATTCTGGCAGTTTTGGAAAAAACATTTTATTTAAAAATCGATTCAGGATTTAATGAATCGATATGCCTTTATTTAAGCTAAAATTCGATTTTAACTGGAAAATCTGATATCGAAACCTACCCCTATAAACAAGGCAAGCTCTTTTTTAGATAACAACTGCTGCTTGTGGTTGCTTGAAGTTTTCACCTTGGAAAGGAGCCAAGTTGTCCAGCACCTAAAGTATAAAAGTTTACAAACTTTTATAATTTATAATTACACAGGGACTTTAAAAAAAATGCAAACACTTCATTAAGAAAAAACTAAAATTTAAGATGTTAGTCTTGCATAGAAATCAGGAACCTCTTGTATATTTATAAATACTATGTGGATTAGACACTATTACATATCTGAGTTTTAATAAAGAGAAATAATGATGATGATTAATTTCCCTGTATATTCATAAAGACTTGCATGACACATTCCAGTGTTGTAGTGATATGTTGTAGCTGAATTCTGTTATCCACTAATATTGAGAAAATGACACCCTAAAATGTAGACTAATGATTAAACTGATGATTTCTTGTCAGTTAGGCTATTTTTGTCTCATCCCTGTGTCTCCTGTGAGTGTCTGTCGTGCCCTCTATGTTTATTTTAGAGATGGACCGATCCGATATTACGTATCGGTATCGGTCCGATACTGACCTAAATTACTGGATCGGATATCGGAGAAAAATAAAAAATGTAATCCGATCCATTAAATATCACGAAAGCACCTCACAAAACTTGCAACACGCCGTAACTCACCTCAGAACGTTAGCACGTCGGAGCAGTATGCATCACGTGATAGAGCGGCTGTGGCATGCGGGACCTGTCGGTGGTCTGGATAGCATGTGGAGCTTCGCTAGCAACCCGGCATTTCATCTCCGACAAAGTTAATCATCTCTCT